AAAGAGAGAGAGATAGAGAGAGAGAGAGAGAGAGAGAGAGAGAGAGAGATATATAGAGAGTGAAAGAGAGAGAGAGAGAGAAAGAGAGACGGCGAGATAGAGAGATAAAGAGAGCGAGATAGAGAGCGTGAGAGATAGAGAGGGTGAGAGAGAAAGAGAGAGATAGAGAGACAAAGAGAGAGAGAAACAGAGAGATAGAGAGCGAGAGAAAGAGAGAGAGAGAGAAGAGAGAGAGAGAGAGAGAGAGAAGATAAAAGAGAAAGAGAGAGATAGAGAGAAGGAGATAGAAAGCGAGAGAGATAACGAGGAGCCGAAAGAGAGAGAGAGAGAGAAAGAGAGAGGGAGAGAATAGAGAGATAAAGAGAGAGAGAGGAGAGAGAGAGAGAGAGAGAGAGATAGATAGAGAGAGAGAGAGAGAAAGAGAGAGAGATAGAGAAATTAACATTAATGTTAGATTAACAGATTTAAGCTAGAGTCTTATGGCGTCGCGCGCGTTAGCAGACGCGGCCGACGCTGACGCAGACTTGAGAGATCTGAGTCCGAGCATCGGCCAGCAGCATGGAGCAGCTGCTGCAGTACGACGCAGACGACTTCACGCGACGTCTTTGACCTGACCTGCGAGGTTAGACACAGGTCGCGGTCCGCTTTGTAGGGTCGCAAGTAACTCTGTAAAAGGTCGCGGTCGCTCTATGCCCTCTTTCTATTTGGATATTTGCGATTTTTCATGACCCTCTCTCTCTCTCTCCTCTCTCTCTCTCTCTCTCTCTCTCTCTCTGCTCCGAGAGTGAAAAAGTGGGAGAGGGGGATCACCTATTCCCGAGAGAATATAACCTGATGAAAGTACCATATAAATAGATAGACATACCAGATATAGGGCTAGATAGAAATAGATAGAATACCACCTATTGAATGATTGAAAATGTATTATTGGTATTTTCCTGGTTTTTCGTGATGGTTGATTATGGTACATTATTACTGCTAGGTACTCAGTAGATGGTTCAGAGAACAGACCATGTTCTGTTCTATGAACCATGTATCTGTTAAAACTAGTTTGTTTCCCATTTTTTTAGTCATTGGTCACCTTAACTATATATCTTCTTTTTTAAATCTTTTTTTTATTACTCAGTGTGTATTTTCCTACACAAAAATGGACACAATTGTGTAGGAAAATATGAACACCAAGTAATAAATAAATATTACAATGATGAACTTAATAATCTAGACCCCTACACCACCTGCACGTAAAAATTAGGGACAAAACAACTACTTTATTAGAATACATTAGTTGACAATACATCAGGAGTAGATAATAGGGAACTACTTCTGATATGTAAATATTGGAATTAATTTAACATTTTTAGCGAAGACTTGGAATAGAGCCAGTCAGATAACCAGCAATGAAGATTTGCTTTTTATTTTCAGGACATTAGACATAAAATAAGGACTTGGACCTATTTCCAAGGACTTTCAATGACAAAAAGACAAATTAAGGCCTTTTAAGGACAAAGTCACTGCTCATCCAACCAGATAAAAAACGGCATAACGATTAGCGTTTGGTACATCACTACATTTCCAATTTTATTATTTTTTTATTCACATTTTTCCAAAAGAAAGCAAGAATTCGAGAATCCGTCGCCGTGCCGATTACCGTTGTGACAACGAGTGCGCACCGAAACATGTTCCACATCGACGTGCGCGTACAAACGATCGACACACACAAGTCCGACGCGAGAACGAGATGCAAACCCATCGCCGAAGAAACGCCGCGCGCGAGAGGAATGCAGGGGGCGCCACTTACAGCCGCGCGCCCGTCCATCGCCGACGCTACCGCCTCCACGCTCGCGACCGCGAACCGAGTCCGGGGGCCATCCGTAAGGTCATACAGGGGTCACGGGGCATTCCTGCCGCTAGAGGGCGCCACGGCATGACCCCCTTCCCATCGCACGGTGAGCAACCTCCCTTCTCGGCTCCTTAGTCGTCCCCGCGCCGGTGGCGCCCCCTGGCCGACGCAAACGGGTCAGGTACGGCGACTCTCGTCGCCGTCCGCTTCCGCCGGCAGGGGGCGCTCGCGTGCGCGCCGACGATCGAAACAACACCAGCGCTGCGTCCGCTCGCGTATACGGGACGACTGCACGCAGACCGAGGCGCGGTGGCGCTACCCGTCGGTGCGCGTTCGCTGCCCCGACGATCTCGGAGTGCGTGCAGTCCGGGCTGGCTATCCACGAGGGTTGAATGGGCCGCGGGGGCGCGCGCCACCGGCACGCAGGGGAGCGATACGTAGCGGCAAGATGGCGGTGGGCGGGCAGCGCGTGACCGATAAACAGGTCGCCTTCTTGCCCGCGTGCTTTTGACGGGATGGCGTAGCATCATCTGCGTCGCAGCTCCTGGCTCCCCCACCCGCGTTTCGCTAAGGCAATCGTTCGCTCTCGCTCTCGCGTCCGCGCGCGCATGCATGCCGACAAAATTCACGTCTCCAATCTTTCATCAGCGAAAAACCGCGCTATCGAACGCAAGAGAGTTTACCTAGACACCGAGGAGGTTTCAGTAATCAACGAATAATCTGCTTCCACCTCCGCGGGGCTTACTAAGGAAACAAGACTTTATACACCGTCCTAACAAAGAACAGGGGTCGGCCAAAATAAATACAAGCTCGCGTTTCGGGACACGTCAGCCGGCGCCTACGAAGATCACAACTATCAAAAAGTACCGTTAATAAAAAGAGCGAATCAGCAGAACGAGAGAGCATTTTTGTGATTACCATATGTCAATATGTCAATTATCATACAAGTGTCAGCCGGGTGGGTATTTTGTAGTGCTATGGTTACTAGTGTGCAGGACAGCACACCAGGGGGCGCAGCCGCGACCACGGCGACCCCGGAGCTTGAGAGCGGTACCCGCTATCGCAGACGGCCTCCCCGCAGGGTTGACGACACACGGTCCACCTTCAGGAGAGACGCGCCAAGAAGCGAGATACGCAACCTCTCCCTCTCGTCGCTCGACGGAGTCGGGGAGTCGCGTCATGGCGGCGTCGTCGTCGTCGTCGTCGCATCTTCGTCTTCAGAGTGACGTATTTCGCAGGGCGTTGCCGCCGCCGCCGCCGCTGGTGGTCTGTCCTGCACGCTCGGTTCGTCGCGAGGCGGTCAGTGCTACAACTACCATTGGCTAGTTAGTCGCTCCGGCTGCTGCTGCTGCTCCAATGCTGCTGCTCCAACACTGCCGCCACTGCTGCTGCTGCTGCTGCTGCTACTGCTGCTGCTGCTGCTTCTGCTGTTGCTGCTGCAGCGGCTGCTGCTGTGAGCGGCGGCGACAGTCTTATGGGCTGAGATCGAATCCGATGCCGAACTTGTGACCTCCGGCATTCAGGTTCTTCGACTCGATGAGCGCCGACAGCGTGACCTTGACCCCTGCAAGCGAGACGAGAGGCTGTGAGACGCGAGAGCGCAGAGACGCGAGTCAGAATATTCTCTGCGTTCGAGGGAGTGTCTGTTTCAGAAAGGTTGACTTCTCACAGACGACGACGCGTCTCAAGCAATGTAGGTTAATGTATCATGCATCATTAACAGACTCCCGATCGCACGCGGGCGGCGTCGCTATAGCAACGCTCATTAGCTTCGCGGCAAACCAGAATCGCATCGCCCTGACGTCTGCACTTAGCGATAAAAAGTTTCACCCGATCGCGCCCGACCTGTCTCTCTCGCGCGCGCGCGCTTGCCACCATGCGCTGACCTCAAGGCACAAGGTCATCGAACCCATCCGGGACAACCAGGGTAAAAAATACACGGGAGCGATGAGTGGTTTGCTCTTCAAACCTCCGAAATCGCTCACGTGAGGCTCAAAATAGCTCCCGTAAAAGTTTTGACGAGAGCTATTTTTCCCACAGACTTGAAAAAGAGCTCCCGTGAAAAAAAAGTACTTTTTCCCCTGATCGCACTACCGGCGGTCGATGGGACGACATTTCTCCGTTCCGATCGTCAATTCTCCGTTTCCACGATCTCTCGTCGCCCATGCGCGCGATTCACTCACCTTTCCTGATTTGCTGCGAGTAGCCTACACCGAGCTGGCTGGAGTTGTTCACCTTGGCCTGTAGGGCGGAGAATGCAAACGAAACGTCAGACGAATAGAGTAAAATTAACATTTACGAAAATGGAAAATCCCACCAAAATACGAGAGAATGTAAAAACTCTTGTCGCCAACCTGCTGTGTTTAATCTGACTATCTCTATTTGTTGAGAAATGGTTCAATTTAAGACGTAAGAGTAATAAATGTTAAGAGTAATTTTCTTTCGGACAACGAAGAGCATAGATCCATCGACCCGTGTGTGTGTGTGTGCATGCGTGCATTTCCACGTGTGCGTGGCGGTATATGTGTGCGTGTAGGTGTGTTTATGTGCAAGTGCCTGTGCGTGCAGGTGTATGTGCATGTGTGCGTGCGCCTGTAGGTATATGTGCAAGTGTGCGTGCGTGCGTGCGTGCGTGCGTGCGTGCGTGCGTGCGTGCGTAGGTAGGCACATGTGCATGTGTGTATTTGACCGTGTGCGTGCGTGTGTGCGTGCGTGTAGGTGTATGTACATGTGTGTGCGTGCACGAGCGTGCGTGAGTGGGTGCGCGTGTAAGTGCATGTGTGCGTGCGTGCGAGTACTCACGCTGACGGACGCGTCGTTGTCGAACGTGTATTTGCCGGCGAGTCCGAACCGCGTCGCGTTGCTGCCTGCCGTCCAGCTCAGCTGCACAGCCGTCTCCAGATCGTCGTTCACCTTCTGGTAGATGGCGCCGCAGAACTCCTGCCCGTCGTTGCTGAAAGTACCAACCACCGTCGACGCTGACACACGAGGTAAGGGTGGCGGCGGCGGTGGTACGCGCAGCGACTGGGATCGCATTTTCAGCGCGGCTGCTCGCGCATTCATCATGTGCACTCGCAGAATTTTTTTTATCGCATATATATACGTTACGTTTTCGCGCAAAATTTCAACTAAATTTCTGGCCGTAATTTTTTTGCGACGGCTCACGCGTTTACGACGTTCATCGCGACAATTGCCGCGACCCTGACGCCAACAACGTTTGAATGCGGAAAAAAACGTGCGCAAATTCGATACTGTAGTACGTCACCGTACCCAGAGATGCCAACACATATTTGAAGCAATCTGTAGTTTCTGGCCATCAAATTAGTAGTTCGAGGGTCACGTAGTGACCCGAGTTCGCTAGGGGGGTCCGGCATGCGCCCCCGAAAAAAATTTTGATTCTGAGATGCAATTTTCTGCATTCTGAGGGTCAAAAATTTCAATAAATTGACAAAAAATTACAATAATTGGAAAAAAAATATATAATTTCGATCACAGTGAAATTCGTAGTTTGATACAAACTGGTCGTAGTGGTGCAAAAGGAATACAAATTCGTATAAAATACGGATAAATCGTAGTGGTTGGCATCTCTGCGTACCGTACCGCTCGTCATCAGGATACGTAGCCGAACTCATCTGCGTTCGAGGGAGCGTCTGTTTCAGAAATGTTGACTTCTCACAGACGACGACGCGTCTCAAGCAATGTAGGTTAATGTATCATGCATCATTAACAGACTCCCGATCGCACGAGGGCGGCGTCGCTATAGCAACGCTCATTAGCTTCGCGGCAAACCAGAATCACATCGAAAACCTCTCCGAGACTCGGCCACGGCTCTACGACTTTAACGATTAGCACCCTGAGAGCATGCCGTAAGTTACCATCGAGACCCAAAATCTGGACCGAGACGTTCCCGACGGCGTCGCGAGGGAGAACGCGTCCGAGTCCTCCGGCCGAGTCGCCGTCTACGCGCACTTACACGTTCGTGTGGAGCACAAAGTCGTCGGTCGCGTATCCGATCGCAAAGTTGTTTCTCGTCAGCGTGGACTTGGCGGTGTCGAACGACGCCTGGTAGCCCGCGAGCCATCCGTTGTGCCTGCGCCACGGCGACAGCAATATAGAGAGAGAGAAAGAGAGAGATTACGATCACGAGGGAGGGGCGTCGTCGTGACCAAACACCGCCCCCGCGAATTCAGCTGCCGTCACGCTGGAGGAGATGGCATCTGCAAGAAACGGGAGCTGGCATTCGCAGGCACTGCGAGTACGTCCAGTCCCCCTCCGAAATAATACCAGCTTAAATATTGATCCGTCTGCGCTCTAGCGAACACAGCAATGTGTCGCTCTAAGTTGACTGTTTCAAACAGCCTCCTGTCCAAGCACTGTCAATCGTCGGTGGGTGGTGTTCTGGTTCAAACTGGTATTGCCCGATAGCATCTATATGCAAGATTGCATCCTTTTAAGATTCGCTGGAACTCGATCCGGCACACTCCGAGTCGGTCGCACACTCGGTACGTAAAACTCGTCTCCATCGAAAGATCTACGAAAGATCTTTAGTCACACGAAAGATCTACACTCTCTCTGACAAGATTCTAGCAGGTGGACCAGTCACGATGAAGAACCAGAAATTAAATCAAAAAGGTGGTCTCGATCGAGTCCGTTTCAGAAATATTTACTTCTCATAGAGAACATCTCAAACAATGTAGGTTAAAATAAAATGCACATCATTAACAGACTGTTACCACCTCGTTAGCGTTTAGTCGTTACCGTTTAGTCTCCCTATTTACGACTCACTCGTAATACAGACTATCATTAACATTACACAGTCCCCCAGGGACCATTTTTTCGGACCGCGCTCTGGCCAGATTGGTCGTCGCGTACGCGGCGCACGCTGGCAAGCCTGACGCGGAGATTATGACCACTAACTCACCCGACGGTGGCGCAGCCGTGCAGCTGGGGTCCCGCAAAGTCAAGATCCACATCTGCGTTCACGTGCACGTAGTCGTGCTTGTAGGCGGTCTTGATCTGTCCGGATTTCTTGCTGCACGGAACGAGAGAGAGAGAGAGAGGGGGGGGAGAGACGAGGTTAGAACCGCACAAGAATTTCCCGCGAGCTCGAATTCGTGAGTACGACAGATCGTAAACCCACGATGCGTGCAAGGTAGCACAATGTAATAAAAGTACGTGTAAAATAATGCCGCAATGTAACGCGTGCCCTGAAGGCGATAAAACGTTGGACTCCCTTGTTCAAAAGTTAATTTCTAACCCCGAGAAATGGAGACTCACCCTGTCTGTGGGGAGAAGGACGAGTCAAAGGTCAGCTTCAATCCCTTAGCTATCTGATCCTCAATGGTGATCATCGTCGCTAGCACGTTGTTCGTGTCCCACTTCTCCGTGAACGTCAGTCCTGTCGCCACGGCAACACGCAACAAATTAACTCTCCTTTTATTACGTGACCGCGCCCATATTCGCGCATAATTGCTTTCCGCGCCGGGCAAGCCACTTCCACGGGAGAAATTACGCCCGCACACGTGTAAAACATCCGCTACTCGCCACGCACCGCACTTGGGCACAACCCTTCCCCCGAACAAGAAAACGTCGTTTTTTTTCTGGACGGCTACCCGCTCGTGTTAAATTTCGCACCTGAAACTCGCGGAAATTTTCGCCGCCGGGAAAAAGATCCGCGAGCGAACGTTGTCGCGCGTCCGTAACTTCAATGCGAAACCTTCGCTCGCCACGCGTCGTCGCCGCGCGTCGACGTACCATACTCGCTCCACTTGTACTTTGTCTCCAGGTTGCCGGCGACCTTCCCGCTCTCGTTGCAGGAGCTGCCCGTCGTGTTGAACTCAACGCCATTTGCCGCCTTCGTCTTGCACTCAAGTTTGATCTGTCCAAAATCTGGAAAGGAGAGAGAGAGAAAGAGAGGTTCGTAATCGAAGTCAAAACTGCACGTAAAGGCCAGTTGAGGAGCGAAATGCAGAAAAAGTGGTGGTCTTTAGGAAGATGGCCATTCCAGCGGGATGGGTTCTGCTCGGTAACTACTGCTTGAGGTAAATACCAAGTAACCGGTAGACCGGCTGCTAATCAAAAATTGACTCGACAATATTTTCGAAGGTTTAGCAAAGGTCATAGCAAAAATGGATACTGGATATATGCTAGCACATTGCTATTGGTTATTCTGCCCTTGAATGCTAGCCAAAATATTGCGTAATCATTTGATCAAATGAGCTTTTACCAAATTTGAGTAAAGCTTTATCTAAAATATTAATAAGTATCTGCACTGCGTTAAAAATCTATAATGCTGCTTACATTTATAAATGTTTTCTCACCATAGCTTCAACAAACTCGAGCCAAAATGGAATTCGCTTGAGTTAACTGTAATGCCTACATAGTTCTACTGGTATCTTGAAACACTGTTCTATGTCAACATTCTTTCAAACATAATTGCAGTATGAATTTAATTTAGCGCACTGCATGCCATTCATGTGTGCTGTGATCACATTACAACTACCCCTAAAACAAAATCGCACATGCACGAGCACACACACATCGTCTCTTTAACGCGTCGTTCCACGCACACATGCCACACAAAAAAAAGCTTAGATGTTTTCTTGAGTTTCTCTAACCCAACATATTTTAGGGAAGGGTGTGGAGGCATTAGGGAGGCATCTGGCACAAATGAACAAGCTATATCAAATACCCCACTGGGGAGTAGCAAACGCATGCGACTTTAGGAAAAGAATTTGCGACACACGTGTGCAAAATCAAACCAACTGCCCTTTACTAGAACCCTTTCCAGCAGTAAAAATTTAGTATGTTGGCTATGGCTCTGTGCTTCCTCTCGATTTACCCATGTAATTGCGAGGTATTTCATACACCCGACGCACCCACGTGAATGTTAGCTATGCTGTAACAGTATTACAATCCACCTGCAATAAAGCGCTCCTGCCATAAAACAGGACACTCACAACCCACAACCCACAACCCACAACTCCAACACCACCACCACAAACTCACCCACCGTCACAACTCCATTCGCTATGTTACTAGAGCCAGAAATTCTAACTCAACACTGCACATTTCTAACGAATGATACGTCGGCATTCGCAGCCGTGAATACGAGGCAACATGCAGTTCAAGGTTATATATCCCGTCGATTCAGACTGAAAACGGCCAACTTTACTCCATGGAACTTTCACCAAACATCATTCATCGTGGTGGACTAAGGCTCATGTAAAAGCTCACAAACGTTTAAAGTCGAAAATAAGTCACACGATGACACGTTAAAGGGATAGTAGATTTTACTGCATACAACTGTACTTACTGTATAACAAATCTTCTATACCCACACGTATTTGTTACCAGATACCTAATTTAGTTGTTATAATTAATTTCACATCAACGCTACGAAATTTGAACGGTGCCACGACACCCGCGACCGTGCTGCCACCCCGAAAAAGTTGCGTATTTGACAATATATTTTGCACGTTACAGACCGAGGGCTAATCACAAAAGTCCAATTATATTTACACCTAAATGCTATTTAACCGAACGATATTCATTTTAGGGCAAATATATCCATATTATAACTGAAACTATATGTCGTTTATAAGATATTACAATCCTTTTGCTTTTAAATTAATAAATAAGAAACACCCTCGGTCTGTAGCCCTTGGCTGGAAAGTGGTTTTGCGCAACTTATCAGATCGTGCGCTTTGAGTGGCGCCACCGTCGTTGTAATCAAACTGTAGTCATTAGCTTCAAAACATTTTTTAACAATATTTCTAATGGTGATAGAACCATGAAACTTTTTATGTAGCGTAATTTTAACCTAAATAATTAATTAACTGAAAATAACCCTGGAACCTAGAGTAAACGATCCCTTTAAACATTGAATAGAAACTAGAATCGAATTTTGTGTATGTGTTTCTATGTAATGCAACTATGTGCAACACAATATTGCATGCACAAACTTCAATACATACTGTAGCCTTTAGAGAAAAGATCTCGGGATCCTTTTCCCAAATCACTGTATTGAACTGGAGCCATTATTGTTCAGGTCTGAAAGCATAGCAATAAAATCCATAAATTTAAACATTAAACCATACATGTTTTAGAACATAGGCAGAGCTACTATGTGCAACATCTTATGGCTTTCTCACACTATGATATTGCTGATAATTCAATGCTCAAGGTCACCAATGTACAGGGGTAGAAATTAACTTTTGAACAAGGGAGTCCGACCCACAATAAGAGGGAGTCCGCAGCAAAATGAGGGAGTCCGCAGTCTGAGATTCAAAATTAAAGACATTAACAATAACGCATTTGCTTATTTTTAATATTCATGCAGTTGCACATCTGCCAAATTTTCTTTGGACATGAGCTAAACAAATATAGTAATTCCGCGAGGCCGTGCTCTGGAACGGACTAGTTAGTATGGCAGAATTTTCAGGGAGTCACACGGACTCCTGCATATGTCAAATCAGGGAGTCTGACAGTAAATCAGTTACTCCAATAAATCTGCTGCCTGAATTCCACTTGGTCGGCGGAAAAGCCATGGCTTATTTTCTCTGTACAACACTACTGACGTTAAATAAAGCTTACTTTACTTTACTTTACGGGGGCGGTTAAAAATGTCAAGACTATACCTACCTACCTTCTGCTAATTTAGTCACACATTTGTAGTCATGTTGTTCAAATCAATGGCCAGAGACACGGCATAGGATTATAATATTAATACTAATAGGACAATTGTATGAAAAGAGAATCGGGCACGAAAATTCACTTGCTGCCAACACAAATTTGAACTTATTATTAAGGATTGCAACCAATAGTAATGCATCTACGTTTTAATATGACCACATAAATAAACATACATGAGATATCTAATTAAATTACACTAACAAGACGTAGAATTAAGGTTTGAAACACTGCTATTTCACATTGCCAATGGAGGCTGCCATGTTGAAACTGGAAAACTGCATTAGATTTCAATATCTCAATATTGCTGTACTCATTACTCGTGACACAAATAATGACATTTAAAACATCCATATGTCCTATATTATGCTGTTAACAATGAATTTAAATAATACAACAATACCTGTACTACTAGTGGGTAAGATTAAATATCAACGCTTACGTTTGGACGCTTGCTGTTACTGCGGCGCTTTCAGAAGGACGAGCAAGGGGATTCCAAAAGTATCGGCACAGGCACTCGATAGTTGCGCCATCTCCTGGCGCGAAATTAAATATATAGACACAACAATTACATATAGAAACAACCATATGGAAACAACAATTTAATATTACACAAATAAATGGAATATTGTACATTTAAATAAAAGAACTTATATTACTAACACATAGTCACTATGATAAAGCTTTTCCCACTTTGGTTGTACCTATTTGTTGTACTAATCAACTTGTACTTATACTTCCACTGCAATCCACGGCACATGCAGTGTTGATCGAGCTATCAATTTGATCAACTTAATTGTCTCTCCGTCTTCGATAGTCCCTTAGACTTTTGAATACTACTATTTCTGAGGTTATGAGGTTATATACCACTATATTTTATTTATTTATTAATTAAAAAAATAGTAGGGAGTAGATTGATGAGGAAGATGCGTAAGGGTATCTATATAGAAGATTGAAAATAGGTTGAAAAATTGGTCGGGTGAGAGGGACAAGGGAGAAAGTGGTTGCACCAGTGATCTTTATATACCATCTCAAATATTGCTATGTATTCTTATATACTATTTCAAGTTTGAGATTACTCATTTCTGATATATCATTTCATTGCATGTAGCAATAGTGACTTTTAACATAATTTAGCCGAGAGATGGCGCCACCGTGTCATAATTTTGCTCTGAATGTAGCTACAGTGTACCACGGTTATAGATGCCAATCAATTATGTCTATATACTAACCTACTATAGCTATACTACTACTGTCACTATATACATTAACTCTAATATACTAGCTACTCTATCTATATAGTAATAGTAGGTTATTATATAGACATGAGTGTTTGGGATAGACAACACTGGAAAGTACAGTAAACTTTTACTGGACGGTACCGCCACCTATTGGCCAAATTATGTTAAGTTATTATTGCTACATATCGTATAATAATAATTATGCAATAAAATAATGTGATATATAAGTATTAAGTAATGTCAAATTTGAGATACCCTGCTCGTATATCTAGGAAAATAAGCCACAGCACAAGTGTATCAAATATTGTACGTGTATGCGCTCATTCCATATAAAGATGTTATACGCAATAAATATACAAATTGTGTGGCGTACTTTCACGTTTTCGTAACAGAAATTTAACTATGTGTGACTCTACACTACCATTCTAAACGAATATAGAGTTACGCACAACAAGATAAAGGTATATAAAAAATAGGTAAATTCATATATAATTATATTTTTTATTTATAAATTTTTGTTTACAAAAGTGAGCAAAATGTGCATAATTATAAAAAGTTCATATAAAAACAAAACAACGTACATATCTTCACAAGCCAACTATTATTCCCGTTATAATTTAACCACAATCGCATGCATATACAACCTCTCTTTCACAGCTAGCACACATTTGCCTGCAATCTCTCTCTCTCTCTCTCTCTCTCTCTCTCTCTCTCTCTCTCTCTCTCTC